CTGGCAAACTCGCGCTCTGATTGGTCGCGGTTTTTCGTTAATATCTCGTAAACGAAGCCTCAGTTTAAATTTTGGCTAAGGAAAAAGTTGTTCCAATTCACCCCCCGAGTGCCACATTTCCGGGTCGGAGGACATTTTTGGGACACCCTGTATAGAGTTCTGCTCCGAAAGCTTGGGATTGACCCTGCTACGGTATTTTGGTCTCCTTTCATTGGAGTAGCATTTTCGTGTTTTCTATAGATTTTTCTAGATTTGAGATAAATGTTTTAAAAAAAACAGTTACGTGTTACATCTTCTTCAGAAATGAGTTCAGTTGACTTAAGGGACGTGCCAGGGTTAAATTATCGAGGATATTTCCCACGCTGAAACGAGATTACCCCTAGATCACTTGTTTCGAATAGGGTATTTGCCTCCACTAGCAGAAGTTTTCGGCCGTACAAGTCCGAATTCGTTCCGAACTTATTTGTCCAACTCCATCGGTAGAAGGGTTTCACATTTATTTCCAATAGAACACCTACGTTACATAAAGAATCCCGATCTTTCGAGTAGTAAAGTATCACGGGGGTTCTAAAATCTAGATTAAAGGTGGGAAAAAAGCGTCGCGAAGCACCCTCCGGGAGATCCTTCTTCCCCCCCCCCCGATTCCGTTTCATCCCCCTTTTCCTCCTCCGTCCTCGTGTGGTTTGAGTTTTCGTTCTCCCTTCCCTATTCGCCCAAGCTAACACTCTACCGATACAGAGGACACACAGAGGAACACGATTAAATTCTCGCACACCGAAACACGGCGAAGACGCGCGCTTCGCGAGAGATCGATGCGAAGAAACAGGGACACGCGGCTGAAAGAAGGTTCGGCGTGTTCGATACCGTCGCACAGTTTCAATACACAAACGAAAACAAAGAAACAAATGGAAAAAAAAAAAGCGTTACACACATAACAAAGGCGTACACATTTAACACGCGTCCCTCCTTCGCGAACAACGAAGAACCCCCCGTAATAACCAAGAATCCCCGCGTATGAAAACTAGCCCTACCAACGCTGCTTGTGAATCTCCGCAGAAGAAGATTGGGAACGCGAATTGGAAGCCGAGCTGAAGGATTACGAAGTAGTTACCAGCGCAGAGGATAAGAACGGCGTCCCAATGCCCGCCAGGGACACGACCGATAAAGACGATTGGCAGAAGCAGATCGACGAACTCCTAGCCAACGAGGACGACGAGGACCTCAAGTGAACCGGTGAGATCCTCTTTCGGACCGGTTAGAAGAGGATCTCGCCGTGTTTCAATTGAGATCCTAAAGGAGGCAGTGCGAGAGATCGCCGGCCTGGATTATTTGTATCTTTCTGTACCGTCGATCGTTCTTCCGAATTGGGAGAGGAGGATATTGTATTGTGGATTTGCTTTTACTGTCTGGTCCCTTTCTCTGTCTTTCACTTCTTTGCATCGCCGACGAGATGGAATGAAATTGTGACGGAAGCCCTGTTTCTTGGATGATCGATAATATTTCCGTGGCTGTTGAGACTTGTAGGTTATGGTCGGAGCGGAACGGTTTGATTGTTTCAAGGTCTTTCGGTGGCTGTTACTATTATCTGATTATAGTAGACTGTGGATTCTTGCGCGGATTCTGTTTTCACAGTCTTCTTCACAAGAATCTAGTTGGAAGAAATCTTCTACTGTGTTTTTGCAATTTGTATTGTTGCACTTTTGTTTTTTAATTGTATTGTTAACTCCTTGTCTTATAACATCGAGTCAGATTCGTGGTGACCGTATCAAAATGGATTCAACAAACAGAAATATTATTCGTATTCTTTGAGTCAAAGTGAAATACTAATATTTAACTTTTAGAGTAAATGTATAATTGCGATAAGTACACGAATTCCTTTTGTTTCTGCGTATCGTTTCTACTATTGATGATAAAGTAATTCTGGAGACTGCAGATATCAAGAAAATCATAGGGCAAGGGATTAAATAATTAGTTTGGAATATGTACTGTTCAAAATTAAGTAAAAGCGTTATACAGTAATGTCTCGATGAGTGCGACGAACTCGGGCCCGTTTTGGAGCATTCGTGGCAAGACGGAAATGCTTGCAACCCCTCATAAATTTGATTTTTGCACTAAGCGAGCCTCTGCTTAGCTTTTGTTTACTCTGTTCTGATTAATTCCAGAGGGGGACTCCGCAGTGATGGGAACAATACCGTTGTTCCTGTCGCATTCATCGAGGAATCACTGTTCATTCTTATCGTTTATTCAATTCATTGTATGTTCTCTGTAAAGTCTTATCAAGTTTCGAGTTTGAAATGGAAAAAGATTTTCTTATTGAAATATGTTGTTGCAAGTCTTTTAAATTACAGTAAAGCGAAATAGTTTATTCGTGTTCAAGGTCATTGAATTTCAGTCCCGAATATACTGATTGAATATCTCAATCTTTCTCACTGGTGGAGACATTTTCACAACTTTGTCCCTTTCTATACCCTATGCAGTGCTTCTAGGGATACTTATTCTATCCAGATGTTGGGAACAGAGTCTAGGAAGCTTTAAAACTTCTGGAACTTACGTCAGACATCAGGGGAACACTCCAAACTTTCATTTTATCTCTTAACTGAGAGAAACAAGTTCAAGAAGGGGACAAACAACAGTGAGAAAACAAAGATTGTGGATTTTGTTAACTATTTGTTTATGACGCACAATAATGTGTAGATTTTCCAGGAAATTACTATTAACAACTAAAATCTCCCTTAAATTCCCTGCATTACAATTTAGTTACTAAATACGGTATATCAGTTAGTATTAACAAAAACTATCAGTTATACTCTTATTATACTCTTTTCTTTTAAACAGTACGAAAATTATAAATTAATTAAACAAATGTCTCAATATCTGTCCACATAATTGTGTATAAAAATTAGATACAATAGAATCATTCGGAGGCTTATGCACCAAAAAGAATTATTAAAAGTCAAACATCCCCTTAATGTAAAGACAATAGTACTTTTCGTTCCATACATTTCAAGGGTAACAGACCATCTGTGAGACGCGATTCCAATTCAAATGATCAATAATCTACGGTAAATACATGCCCAACAAAATTGCAGTATACTGTACATGGTAATTTAATTCCCGGTAGGAGAAGTCACCTTGAACAGCTAAACTCTCTTGCAGCAACTACAAAGATCTCAGAAACTCGGCTAATAGCCTATTAGGTCCATTAATCGGATAACCAAGTGCTGATAGGACCATTCGAATCATGAGCCCGTTGAATACAACAATATGAGAGTAAGAGGTGGCGCGGGAAGGGAGAGACAGAGAAAAGGAGGAAGAGGGTGGTTGAGACTAGGAATGGCATGAAATGTAATTTACACGCGTTCTTTACACGCGACATTTAATCTGTATATTTTATATTGTTACGTTGTCGCGGGTAGTGTCTTTAGTTCAAGCGATATTTAGGGTTTATGATATGCGAGTGTCGGAAGCGCGAGGTTTGAAACAAATGTAATAGGAGAAGGGAGAAAGGGGAGGTTGGCACATTTGGGAAAGGAATTGAAAAGGATAGATTTAAAATTATTTATGTTTGAATAATTTCTCTTTATCTCCCTCTCCTAATGTACAAACCAATGGTAAAATGATAAACACTCGGGAACTGGACAGTTGATGAATGACAAGGAATGGATTGGTAAATAGGAAGTCGCTTTAATTAATTAATAATTTCCTGATTAGATGTCTGTTTGTAAGAGACTTTGATAATACACAAATTGTATTTGTTTTTATAATTGGGCAACGAGATGACGTTCCTTGTTTCTTTTTTTTCCGCCATTCATCTCTGGACGTTAGAACTACCCAGACGCATGCTCGAAACATAAGAAGAATTTGTAAAAGTAAATTTATTTAAATAAGTGTAAAAAAAAATATTTAAATTAAAATTAAAGAATTCTGAACAGTTTAAATTGAAGTTGTTATTTAATTGAATACTTAAATACAATTTCACAATTAAAAGCGCCCCATAGGCGCAAGCTCACGCCATATTTCCCACAAAGCTTTAAAATTCACCAAAGAGAACGCAACAATATTAACGACATCGAAACAAAAATTCTAGTTATATCGTATAAAGTGAAGGAATAATTAGAAACAGTGAAGAATAATGAATAAATTAATGATTATAAATTATAATCTACATATTACCTAGCAAATCATTCTTTTAGAATTTCTTGTTTTTTTTCTACTGATTTTTACAAACACGAATAGTAATGTAATTCATCGTAAAATCATATTGAATACGTTTCTCTGTTTAAAGATCAAGGACTTACGATCGCAGTGAGAAAATTCACTCAAGATAAAAAAATCGCAGTCACGGTCGTAAATGAAGTTAAATCACGACCCTGATCGTGATTCGGTGATCACTGTGATAAATCACCGTTAGTGATTTTGCACGCCGTCTCTAGTTGAGACGCGGTCGTCATCAGACGAATACGAAGAGGAAGTAAGTAGACGGATGGCGGGAAGAGACACGAGAAGAACATAAAACGAGTCTTTTACTTCCTTCTCCGTTGTCACGACATCACTTGCACTCACGATCCTCAAGCACAGTGAAGGTAATACTAAAGAAAAGGGTCAAATATACAGGGAGAGAAAGATAAAAGTGGGAAATAAGGGTTGTTCGAGTCCAACCGTATACAGGGTATTTCACGTAACTTGACCACCTTAAATATATCGCTTATTTTGTACGATAGAAAAAATATCAGGGGAGAAAAGTATTCTGTTCGAAGGCGCCAATACGGTGATGGGCCGAATTTTTTTCTCAAGGTCATTTTTTGTTAAATCATAGTCTTCAGTTAAATCTTTATTTAGAAGGTGTTCAAAATGTGCACCGTGAATCTGGATACATTGTTGGAGGCGGTAAATAAATTCTTGCTGTACATTTTTAAGTTGCTCTGCAGTAATTGATCTACATTCATGTAGAACCCTTTGTCGCATGTTTTCTGCCGACGAAAGGAGGATACGAATGTCTGTTTACATGCACCAGGGACAATTACACGGTACACTGTTCCAATGAAATTGAAATTCCTTCATTTACCGTCCCCGAACGCGTACTGAGCTTACTGACAAACATTTCATGATTTTTTCGCTAAAGGTCACGTCAAGGTCAACATATTGCACCTCGTTGGATTTGTTTTTTTATATGCTATAAGAGTATTGTAGTGAAAATATGTAGTCCCGTTAAAAAAAAATTTGATGACCTTGAAATCTCGAAAAAAAAAAAAATGACCTTGAGAAAAAAATTCGGCCCATCACCGTATTGGCGCCTTCGAACAGAATATTTTTCTCCCCTGATATTTTTTCTATCGTACAAAATAAGCGATATATTTAAGGTGATCAAGTTACGTGAAATACCCTGTATGTATAAACTGTAAATATTGTTGCCGATCGATCTCGCTCATCGAACCTCCGTCGATTCCATCCATCCCGATGATACGTGGATCTAGCGAACGGTGGACGGGTGTGCACACGAAATTGAAAAAAAAAAAGTAAGAACCTTAAACGCCACAGTTATATCAATTGTTAAACGACTCGTCTTCGATTACGGATGACGATCTAAGAAATTAATGGAAGAAGAAAAAATTATTAAAAAAAAAAGGAACAAATTTCAACGTTTCTCGTTTGTAATGATATCGATCGTTCAGATAATTAAAAAAACAAAAATGAACGCGTTACATTATTTACTCGAAATTCAAAATTGAAAGATTCGAACATTTTTGGCGGCTATTCATCGGGTTCGAAGGATCAAGGACTATATAATCTGGCATTGTTTACACTGCCGTGTGCCGAAGGACACCACTTCGAACGGATCGACATGCATCGTCCGCTTTATTTTTACAAATAAACACGCATTCAATGGTCGGACGCTGACCGCCCGCCCCCTCCCCCTCATTGAACCTCAGGGGGTTGCGCTTTTTTTGTCCTCTCCTGATCATGAATTTTGCCGATCTGCTCCGCAACCCAGATAGCACATGACGCCATAAAAACGGCTTAACACGTTCACTGCCACGGTACTTTTCAGGATTCCGGTCTAAAAAACCAATTTAATTTAATCATATTATATTATTAAAAACTCTAATTATAGTACATAGTAATCATCAAAAAGCATATAGAATGTGTTTTTTTGAAAAAAAAAAAGATCTTACGAATTATCTCGTAGTTGGCTTATGTAACAGAAATTTTCTGTTCATTTATTAATTTTTTGTTCTCCTCCCTGAGGCTATCTATTCATATTTACACTGATATATTACGAATTTCATCGTAGCTGCACAAATATGCCCAGTAAACAAACTACGAAATAACCCGTGGTTGGCAGTGAACGTGTTAAAGACGTCTTGGACCTAAAACAGCCGTCAAATGGGCGTCTTTGAGGCGTCATGTGTTATCTGAAAATGTATCGCCGCCTCTCGTGTTATCCTGTCCTGACGGTGGCACGAGGGGAACAAGATGTTTGTAAACGGATCGAGATAAAGAAACACATTTGAATAGCAATGAGAGACACACTTCGTTGATGTTGTGCCGAGAACAAAGGTTTGTTCAACAAATGTTGGCAACCCCTTACCCCAAAGATGGCTGAAGATGAATTGTTTAGACTGTAGGTTTATTGATTGGTAAAATATACTTATCAGAATTCCTGTCGACGGATGTAGTGCTTTTGGTGGTATCGAGGCAAATCCACCCCTTTTTACAGATATCAGTTAACTTCCTGAAGCACTCCAGTTTCTATGAATTTCCGCTAATTTATTGTTTGAATAAATACTGTTCGAATACTTGTTTTAGAGTTTTTTTGCTTGAGCTGAGAAACTAAACTTGGATTGACAGAATAGAACTAGGTTTGAATAATATTTGTAAAAGCTGAAACATTTAGAAAGTTAAATGGAATGTTAAAGAAATTATCTTGAATGATTTATTAGTTAAATTATTAATCTTAAATCTTATTTAAGATATAGCAATTGGGGTGAAGTAACTGTTTATATTATGATAAAGTGACCTCAAACACTTGAGTGATAGTGTATTAACTAACCATAAAATTCTAAATTCCGCGTGTATTTCTTGAAAAATTATGAACCATTATTTTTATTATTCTGAACTATACTCAGCCATCCAGGGGTTAGAAAGAAAGGCCAAAAGAAATACCAGACGCTGCATTTTCAAGAAAAATTTGTTGCAGATCCCGTCGAGACGTCGTGCGTGCGCCGCTATGTTGAGTCAAGATCTTTCGTCAATTTTTCTCGAATATCGACCTTTTCACTCAAGCTCGCTGTAAAAATGTTTTCATTCGCACTAGTCGTTACGTGGATGTATACATGTTATATTAAATATAAATATATATTAACGTTAAGGTGTCGCAAAATGATTCGGGCCTAAGTTCATTGGAGTGGATGGAAGACCGATTACACGCGTGTATGCCTAACACCGGAAGTGGAAACCAGAGATGGGTGAAAATTTTATCGAAACTAATATCAACAATGCGTGTGCATTCATTAACATTCGTTTAATTATTTAACATTCGATTAAATGATCTAGAATCTACGGTATATTTTTCATTCACGATGAAACAATTACGTTTCTAATTGAAATTCACACTACGTTTTATAGGTTGTGGATTCACGTGTTCGCTCACTTACAGTAACAATGTGACAATTATTTGTTAAACGCTGTTACATTGTCCTTGATTTCTTATATTTGTCGCATTCTTTTCTCTTTTTTCTTTAATTTTAATATTAAAAGAAAAAACATCTGATGGAAAAATTGCCTAATGTGTGCAAATGTATAAGTTCTTATGTGATTGTTGAAAAAGAATATTCGTTATTTTCAATAATTTGCATCGATTTTCCCCATCTCTGCGGACGTTGCACAGAAGTGGCTTGAACTAATCCCCGAGTCAATAAGCGTGTATTTCTTGAAGTACCGTCAATTCTATCGAATCCGTTGAGTCTTTCGTTGGCGACTCATATCGTCTGTTCTGTAAATTCTGTTCGTCGAGACCTCGTGCTATGTTTCTCTTCGAAACGCAGAGATGATAGTTCGTTTAATTTTTTTTTCCTGTCCTTTTGCCCCGACTGAGACGCGAGAAAGTACATTCTTCTTCTTTCTTTCTAGGAAAAACAAAAAAAACACAGAAAAACATTGAACAAAATGATTCCATGGCCAAACGAGATAATTCTTATGTATACATAATAATTTTATGGTGTACTTCGGCAATCCCCCTATTTCAAGATCACTCTGTGAATTGTTTAATAAAGCTATCCTATGGTACAGTGCATTCACTCGTAACGATTGAACATACACCCGATACATATATATAAATGATATATATACATATATATGGGATTGGGAACTCCATACCCAACAAACGAGCAAATAACATCTTTGGAAAATAGGAGGGTTTCGTGGAGTAGTGGGTCAGTCTCTGCTTTCGGCGCCGGGGGTCGTGAGTTCGAATCCCGCTTGGATCCCTCTCATTTTTCCAACGCTCCTACATATATACATATGAAAATAAACAAAAAAAAATATATATATATGTTGTTGACTCCATTGAAAGTATGATAATATATTAATGAATAACTACCAAAAGCGTAAGGGCGGAAGCATTAAAATTCTAGAACTATTAAAAAATTAATCAATATAATTGCTGAATGTAACAATAAAGGTCGTGTACCTCGTGAAAAATAAAATATTGAAGAAAATATCATGGTGGAGCTGTGTATGCCTTTCGCCCGTCAATCTCTTTCCTTGTGTCTCCGTTACTGTTAACACATGCTGCATAATAACGTATAGGGTTAAGTTCAAGGCTCACAAAATTTACATACATATATATAAAAATTCAAAACAACCAGCGCAAGGTATTTCAGAAAGTTGCAGGTTTGTTGCACTTTTACCTTTTAAATGTTTAGACGTATATCTACAAATTTTGTGAGGCCTAGGTAGATTCACCGTGCACGATAGAGGCCAGATCAGATTGCAGAATGTGCAGTATGTATAACCACGGTACGTATATTCATTATATTATTTTTTTAGTTCCACGTATGTATCTCTAATAATTTTTACATTTGTCAAGAATAAAAAAAAGTAAAGCATCATGTATAAAATACATTGTTTTAATACAAGATATGATTAAAAGATACAAAAATACTGCTCTATCTTATAATACGTTTTAAATTACAGAGAATAAATGAGGAATTTTTGTATAGAAATATCACAGAACGTACGTCTCGCTTTATAACGTCTTATAGAACATTAAAATCACCGACGCTGTGATTATTCCTACGGCTAGTTTTCTTGAGAGTAACAATCATTTGCCATAACTTATTCTAACTCGACATGTTCTATGTACAATTCATCATTTTCGTCTGGTTCTTAAACTGCGAGGTGGTATCTTTCCCGGTGTGATCGTTACCGTGCTCTGAAAAGGAACAAAATATTTATAATTATGTACTGATGAACGACATTACGATTATATAATTTTACCTCGAGTGGTTCAATATCTTGACAAGATTCGTCGGCTGTCAAATATAATTTCTTTTTACGAGTGTTCCTTTTTCTCTCCGATGATGTTTCTGTAGTAGGAGGACGGACAGTACGTTTTGCACTTCGTCTAAAATTAAATCATAATACACTTCGATACTTAGGTTCATTAGATAAATATTGCATATAATATTCAAGTTCATACTTAGACTCGGAACCAGAGAGCTCGATCACTGATTCATTTGGCGTAGGAGAATATTTCCTTGGCGCTCGCATTGCTCTTCGTTCTTTTGGTACTGCCTCGTCATCAGACGTGTTTTCCAATAACTCTTTCTCCTTGGAGGAATTCTTTGTTATCTACACAAGAACAGTTATTAAATAGGACTAATTTGCGAAGAATCAATTTTGTTAACAATTCAGTAAGGAAGTACCATTTGTTTCCGTTTCTCCAATTCCTCTTGTTGATTCTTTACTAAACTCTCATATTTTGTCACCATCTCGTCCCTGTTCTTCATAAACGCTTCCATTTCACGCTCCTTCTCAGTCAGACTATTCTTCAATTCTTCATTTCTGCTTCTTAACCTTTCATTTTCCGCTTGCCTCTCCTGAGCACTTTGTTGAAGGAGTTCCAAAACCTTCACGTTCTGCTCGTACGTTTGCACGCGCATCTCCAAGTTTTCAATGTATTCATCTTTTCGCGAAAGTTCTTCTTTCGCCTCCGTTAAGTCTCTGATTCTATTCTTCATCTCTATCTCCATGAGTTTCTCGCTTCTATCGTCGGAGTCGGTTTTTGGGATCATAAGCTTTAATTCTATAACAATGAAATGTTTTTATATTGTTACCAGATAAATACTATTGGCAATTATTTGTTGAATAAAAAATATCTGACCCGCTTGAAGAAACATTATTTCAGCATCCTTTTCTTCTTGTATCTCCTTTGCATGCTCTAAACGATCCTCAAATTCTAGAAGCTTATCATTATTCTCGTCCAGTAGCTTCTGCAAATGTTCTTTCTCATCTTGACATATTTCTAAACTCTTATTTAATTCTTCAATTTGTTGCCGAAGGTCTGTTATAGTTTCGAGATCGTGCTCCAGTTCAGTGATCTTCGCGGCATGAACATCTAAACACTATAAGAAAAACGCAATCCAATAGAATCAATGGTTACTTTTCATGGCACTTATATTTATTTATCTAAATACCTTCGACTTAATATCACTCCTCTCTAACGCTACACAAAGATCTTTCTGCAACTTACTTATTGTTTCTTCGTGCTCGTCTTTACACTACAAAACAGAATCATTAAACATATATGTATAACAATTATTGTACTATCATATGTACCTACCTTTGAGATGTGACTATTAAAATCTGCTTGTAGGATATTCAGTTTCTATGAACATAAAATAAATATTTAAAAAGTTATGAAAGTGTCGATTGTATAATCTTAAGACAGCGACGAGATACATACTTCCATACATTGATTGTAGTCATCCTTAACGTGTGAAAGTTCCTCTTCAGATTTATTCAAATCATTCTTAGCATGTGAAAGTTCATTTTCAGATTTATTCAAGTTATCCTTAACATGTGAGAGTTCCTTTTCAAATTTATTCAATTGTTCCTCGTAACCACTGATTTTAGTCTCTAATGTAGTTTTAACATTATCACTATCTCTCAACGTTTCTTCAAGTTGTGTTTTACTGTCTCTGATTAATTTTTCTTCCAGTACCTCTACAGATTTTGTCTTCTCTGTTAAACAAATATTCACACTCTCCAAATCTGCTTCTAAATCATCTATTCTTTCTTGTTTCTCAAATAATTCTTCTTCTTGTTCCTTGATGACATATTCTTTCTCCCTTACTTGTGTGGTGATTGCAATGTACTCTTCCTTTGCTTCATTCAAAAATACTTTTAATTTCTGAAATAATGTTGTTATAATATAAAGAGAAACATACAGAATACAATAAATAATCCAATGTGATTTTAAATACCTTCACTTGTTCTTGTTTCGCGAATAACTGAGATTTTAATTCCTCCATGTAAAACTCTGAGTCTGCATCCAAACAAACATCTTTCTGAGCTGTGCTCAACAAATTCTTCACGTTTTTCAAGTCCTCTTTTATCAAGCCCAATTCGAAACTTATTTTATTCTTGTCAACAGTCAAGGACTGATTTGACTCTTTAAGTTCTTTCACGCTACTCTTAAGTAATACAATCTTGGATGTTAAACGAGAATTTTCACATTCCAACTCTTCCATATTTTTTAAATCGTCAGCGTCGTTCTCTGCATTAGACGGACGCTTCCTCTTACGACAGCTAAGTTGATCCAGTTTTTGCTTATAGAAATCTTCAACTTGTTTCACAGACCATTGAAGTACATCTTCTTGCTGTTCCTCCACGTCTTTTATACGTTTCCTATATCACAATTAATGGTATAATTATAAAAATGTACTACTAATTGCAAAGATAAGTTATATGACATGACAAGCTGAATTAGTTGCATACAGAGTTATCATAATCAATGAGTAATAACATACTTCCATTCCACTTCAATCTCTTTCATCATAATTGTGTAAGTATCAGCCATTTCTTGGCGTATCCGAAGATCCCGAGTTAATGCAGAGCTCTTCAAACGCAATTTCTTTTTTCAAACTTTCGTTTTCATTCACCAACTCATCATAATCTTCAGCTTGCACATAGCCGAACACAACATCATCCGCCGTGTTGTGCCACTCTGTAAAAATATCATAAGAATATATTGAACAGAAATATGTTTAAAAAATATAATTAACTGTAACTGTAGCATATGCAATTACATATATACCTTCACTTTCTAATTCTGTAGCATCCCAATCAGTTACTGTTCTTATACTTTGTGATACTATCTGCGAAAATCTTGATTTCTTCTTCTGTATTTTTTGTTTCTGTTCTATAACTATTTTCTTTGCAATAGCAGAAAAATTCAAAACATTCTGGGTTTCTATGTACAAGTTCGGTAAAGGATTGATGTTCACTATCAGAGCTATATGTTCTTTACCAGAAAGTGCTTTCTGAAATAGCCTAGTTAGTTTTGATTCTCTAAATGGACCGACATGTTCTATTTTTTGTTTAGACAACTGTCCATCGTGAATTGTTTTTAGACATCTTCCTAATACCAACAGACTTGTATTAATATTCTGTGCTTCTTTCAATCTATCTCCGATATTTAATGTTTTCTTTAAACGTTCTGAACCAGCTAAATCACAAAAGGCAAATCTGTAATATTTGTAAGAAACATTATATATATAACAAAACTGGATACTGGCACAAAAATTATATTACAAAGAAAATATTATTCACGTACGTGCTAACTTCAACAGAATCGGAATCATTCTCAACATAGTACTTCAATAATTTAATAGTGAATATACAATGAGATCTCGAGCTTCTTGCGTTTAAAGCAGTTGCAGCTACTTTTAAATTATACTGTCCAGCCATTAAAACCTGATACGCTTCAGAACCGGAATTGACGCAAACAGCCTTAAGACCTTTGATGAATGCCCTACCCTGTACATCTGTAGCTAATTTGAGGGGTGTTCTCTTTTTCTGAGTCTCGTTTGATAACAGATCGTATACAATTTCATTATAAATTTCTGCAAAGGACACCCAAACAGAATAATGTGCATCA